TTCTTACGAGCCGACCTCAACATGTTTTCGCTTGCACTTGGCAGACAACCAGCTGTAGTATTAGTCCGCCAATACAGTAATCGGTTCTAGGGCTTAAATTCCTTACTATTTTATTAAATATCAAGAAGTTTATACTATTCAATAATTTTATAAGTTTAATATTAATTTTTTTAGTCATTTTAACAATTTTTGAACATAACTGAAGGTAAAGTCACTAGTTTTATGCGCGCCATCTAGCCTTTTAACACACCAAACAAGCGTTAGTCTCACTATGTTTTCAGTGGAGGTAACATCTTGCTTGAGACTCTCTTCAACTAAGCACTTTTTTTCTGTGTTTCCAAGCAAATTATTGGTCATTTTGAAATTTATTTTACATATTGACAATATATAGCGCAGTGCAGCGTTATTTTAAAGAAAATATTCTTTATTTACAGCTAGTTCAACTTTAAAAATCACGTGTTGAGATTGTTTGAATCCAGCATGGGGCCTAAGAGATCAAGAAAAGCGATTTCAATCCAAACCAAGCAGGAAATTATAAAAAAAACATGAACAAGGCATTAGAATAAATGTGCAATGCAAAGAATATGGCATGTCCACATCAACTGTGTAGACAATTCTTGCACAGAAAGACAAATTTAAAGAAGTGAAAGTGAGAGACAAATCTACCAGAGTGTTTAAAAGTAGATCCCTAATTGCAGAAACTGAGAGGTTACTTCTCATCTGGATTAGGGAAAAACAGATGAAAGGTGATTCAGTTTCTACTGAATTCATTTGTGAAAGAGCCAGGGAGATTTACAAACATTTAAAGGCAGATCAACCTGGTTCTTCAGGCACAGAATTTGAAGATTTTCGGGCCAGCAAAGGCTGGTTTAAAAAATTTAAGAAAAGAAGTGACATTTTCAGTGTTGTTAGGCATGGTGAAGCTGCTAGTGCTGATAAGGAAGGGGCAGCAAAGTTTTTAGTGGAATTTAAAGAACTGATGGAAGAAGAAAATTATCTTCCACAGCAAGTGTTCAATGTGGATGAAACTGGGCTGTCCTGGAAAAAGATGCCCAAAAGAACATTCATCACCAGAGATGAAACCTCTTTACCTGGGCATAAACCCATGAAAGACCGTCTCACTCTATTGCTTGATGCCAATGCTTCAGGGGATTTCCGACTGAAGCCTATGCTTGTCTACCACTCTGAAAACCCCAGGGTGTTCAAGCAACAGAAAGTGGTAAGAGCAAAGCTTGGAGTTTATTGGAAGTCCAACCGTAAGGCATGGGTGACAAGACAGCTCTTTAATGAATGGGCTGTTGATGTGATTTGCCCTTCTGTCAAGAGCTACCTAACCACCAATAAACTCCCTTTAAAGGCTCTTCTCCTCATGGATAATGCTCCTGGTCATGACCCTGAACTTGCCAGAACTTTGGAGTATCAATTTGACTTTGTGAAAGTGTTGTTTTTGCCTCCCAACACTACATCAATCATACAGCCAATGGACCAGAATGTGATCAGTAGCTTCAAGAAGTTGTACATGAAGAAAATGTTTAGGAGGTGTCATCAGGCAACTTCCAATGATCCTGAACTAACACTGAAACAGTTCTGGAAGACACAATTCAACATCCTGGAGGCTGTACAATTGATTGTGTCATCATGGCAAGAAGTCTCCACTAGATCCCTCAATTCTTCATGGAAAGCACTGTGGCCATCAGTAGTCCATGATTTTGAGGGATTTCAGGATGACCCAGAGTTGGACCAGGAGATTGTGTCCAATGGTCAGTCATTGGGCCTTAAAGTGGAAGAGGATGATGTCGAAGAGCTTGTGATGTCTCATGAGGAGGAACTTACTCCTGTTGACTTGAAGCAACTGGATGAGATGTTAGAGGCTGACAATGGTGAGGAGGAAATTGAAAGTGATGACCATTTGTCAACTAAAGAGTTGAAAGATGTGATTTACCACTGGGATAAGTTCAGGGAACTGGCTTCAAAGCACCCAGATGTGGAAAAAACTGAACTAACTTTGTGTCATGTTGAAGACTCAATGGTTTCCTTCTTTAAACGAAAGTTAATAGTGAGGAGGAGAGATGCCCCACAGACCACAATTGACACTTTCTTCAATAAAAGGCAGAGGGAACAAGATGCTATCCCTCAGCCTTCCACTTCAAGAAGGAGAGAGGATGATGCTAGCCCTCAGCCTTCCACTTCAAGAAGGAGAGAGGATGTTCATGGTGGAGAATCTGTCAGTCCAGAGGTTCCTGACATTTTCATGGAAGGTGACTCACCTTGCAAGAAGCAGTAAAATGCTTCTCCTCCACCTCCACTTCCTTCTCTTCTCCCTTCTCCTCCTCCACCTCCCACTTCAAATTCACATCAGCATCACCATCCAGGAGCCTTCTACATACGCACCTCAAGGTAAGTGTCAATTTCTAACATTTTTGTTGAATTTAGGCAATTTTCGGTGAGCTGGAACCAATTACCCAAAAACCCATTGAAACAATGGTTTCGGTTAACGAGCAACCTGCTGGAACGGATTGTGCTCGTTAACCGAGGGACCACTGTATTACAGTTTCAGCCACAACTTGGTTAGAGCAATTTTGGGTTTACCATTTAGTTGTATCTTGTCAAGAACAACAACTTTCTGTAATATCACTTCTGTCGCAAATGGATATTAACCAAGAAAGTAAATTCACATAAATCTGCAGTCACTGCATGTCGTCTGTTTGTTTACAGACGACCATTGACTCTGAGCTTACTCTCACATCCACAAAAAAAGGAAAATTACACCACGATGTTTCAACAAAGTTGCTTTCATTGGTACCAGATATCAAAATAAGTACTTTCTATTTAATTCAGCAGGGATGGCTAAGAAGTTAGGTAAGGTTAGGTAGGTTTCTTTGGTTGGTTAGGTCAGGTTGCATGGAGGGTGATAAATTCAAAAGAACTTATTACCGATGGAATTGAAGGTCAAATTCGAATGAATCACACCAAATACTAAGGTAAAAACAAAAATTTGTGGTCAAACAGTAGTTGTGGCTGAAAACTCTAAATTTACCGGTATTAATACCATCTATGTAACCAAACTTATATCCATAGAACCCAGGAATTATATCTAACTTAACTGGAGGTATTTTTGCATTTACACATTCCACATTCCTACCACTAATCTATCATCATATTCTAATAAGACGTCTAATTATAAGATCATTTTCATCTATTACATTACCGTTGCAAATGTATAATAACGGAGATAGCGTATCCAAAATTTTCTCTATTTTCTTCCATTAATCTTCCACCATTATCACCTACCTCACCTCTCACACTGCGTGTCTCCTTCATAAATCATCACGCGCATGCATTCCCGTACACGTCACGCGACCAATCAAAAGCGGTTTTTTTTTGCAACCAATTAAAATGATTTGTGGTTTAATTCACGGTATTTTTGGCCCAATCAAAATCGACTTTTATTTTGGGTGTCATATTTCCAAATTCATATTCATTTCCCACCATGGAAGTCTGCGATGGGTGTCACTTTAATTATATGGAGCTGATTTAGAGTTTTGGGGAAAAAACGAAGAAACTGTAGCATTTTTTCGATCGTCTGGTGTTCTTCCAACCTCAGTAAAGTGTACTAAGTGCAAGACTGAATGTAAATATCGCAAAGACCAACATATGTGGCGTTGTGTAAGAATCTCAGAATCCAATGACGAACAAGAACCAGGCCAATAAGGTAAGAAATAGGCGATTCCATCATATGGTGAGAGTCAGTTAGGTTAGGTTAGGTTTTTGTTTTTCAAGTGTGTTTTGGTGTATTTTTATTCGCTTAGCCATTTTTTTTTAAAAACGTCCCACGAAAAAAAATCGATTAAAAAAACGGCAAATTTCCTAAGGAAATGAAGGTCATATTCGGTCTAAACACACACAAATACACTAGAAAAACATATTTTTTACTTTCTAACAGAGTGGGAGGTGGAAGCGCAGATTTACCTAACTGGATCCCCCCAGAGAGTCCAGACCCCCTTTTCTGGCAAGGGGCTTGTCCCGGATGACCAAAACTAAAATAATACCATAATACCCTCTCTCCTACAAGAACACAGCCCAGACGGTCCGACTAATTACCCAAATGTACCCAAATGTAGCAAAATGTAGCCGCAATGAAGTCAAATAATTGTCCTACATGAATAAATTGGACTGCTAATCACTTCTCGACTAGTATTTGGTGTCACAAAGTCACAAAAAATTGGAAAACTTACTTTCATCTGAGTTAATAGATCGCGTGCATGTACCGAGGGAGCGAGTAATTACCCAAATGTAGTCGCAATGAAGTCAAATGATGGTCGTACAAGCGTAAATCGGGCTGTGAATCACTTCTCGATTATTATTTGGTGTCATAGTCACAAAAAATTGGTAAACTTAATTTAATCTGAGTTATGTTGTGTTAGGTTAGGTTAGGTTAGGTTATGTTCGGTACATGCACTCGATCTCTTAACTCAAATTAAATTACGTTTTCCAATTTTTTTTTAACTTTGTGACACCAAATACTAGTCGAGAAGTGATTAGCAGTCCGATTTATTCATGTAGGACCATTATTTGACTTCATTGCGGCTACATTTGGGTAATTAGTTGGACCCCAGCCCAGATATCCTCCTCAACTCAACAAACACAAACGCAAGAATCAAGCAGTTTGGCTACACATGCAGACAATCGCCACAGAATAACACGAGGGTGTAGCAATCCTCATCAAATTCTCCATTAAACACAAATTCATCACCGACTTCACCTTCAAACACTTTATGGCCAAGATCAAAACTGAACACGGACAAATACTGGCATGAACAACATACACAACACTCTCATCACCTTCACAAGCCTCAAACCCATCTTCAACAACACACGCCTACCAGTAAACACTAATGGCTGATCTCAACGCAACACACAGCATTGCAACACAACAACAAACCCCCATGGCCAGGAATTACAATTAACAAACAAAAACACTTCATCACGTTGGACCTTACTTCCTTACTTCTAGCTTTTTTTTATTTTTATCCTTTCCGCCACTGATCGGCTCGTTAGCCGCTTGGGCAGTCGGTCACGTCTGTTAACAACTGCTGGCACGTACTGGTTATGCACTGGCTACCGTACCTATTCCGGTGTTTGTCAAGATTCAATCACTTTGCTCACACACTAACACAGTGCAGTCCAAGGAAAGTATATTGAAGGAAGCACGTCTCCATAAAATTCTTTACGGCCTCCGATTGGCCTGCCATCTAGGGGCCAGGCGTCTCCAAAAAGGAGAACTATTTTCTTTATCTTTTAACGATAAACGATGATATAAAATGAATATTTAGCAACGACCGTAATTCACACAACTAGGACTCAAAATTTTCCTTTAGATTTATTTCTTGTACAAAATTATTATTGTCCACAATAGCAAAGATCCTGGGGGATGCCTCCTCCTATGATCAACTTGAGGGATTTCCTATACATGTACTGTATAATCATGAGGGGTGAATCTAGGATCTCAAAGTGACCGACTTCCGGGCTAGGACTTTTGAGTGTATGGCTGTCATTGTAACGTTGGCACAGCTGGTCTGTTTGAAACCTGATGATTCATATTATGTTCCACGCCCACAAAACACGTGATTAACTGGTGAGTTAGCCCTATAAAAGAACAGTTTTCTCTAGTGTAGGGGTATCGAGATGTTAATGTTGTCTAGCACTCAGGATGGAAGGAAACTCTAATGTGGTTTTCTTGTATAATATATAAGTTATATGAAGACAGTCTGGGACTGGAGATTTGATTTTTTTGCCGCTTGCAGCGGCTACTTTATTGTGCACCCCACACTCATCCTGTGAGCGGTAGCGCAAAAGGATTACAGAGTAGGGTTTACAAAGGGTCATAATAATTAACCCCGGTTGTCAGGATATTATGGCACCGAAAGTTACACAGTATTTCATTTACATTATTTGTTTAGTTCTATACATAAAGGGTAACTTATTCACAAATGCGTGAGAACAGGCGTGTGAGGCAGTATGTCTGGCCTCACACTTTGTTATTCACATTTACGTGGGAGGTATTCAAGCACATTGCGTATTTGGTTCTGTACATGAGAACTGATATAGTTACTGAGTGCAAAAAAGTGGATACAATCTTAATATGTCGGCTATCTTGCCATTAGAGATGAAGTGTTGTGCCATTTCACACACAGTGTGCTTGGACCTGTCCCTAAAAGGTTCTATCTTCACACAGTCGAGGACGTAGTGTTCAAGTGTGTGGCCATATGTATGGCCACACACTTTACATTTAGTTTTGTTTACATCTGCTTGAGGAACATACTGCCAGAGGTACTTATATCCTAACCTTAATCTAGCGGTTACAAAATCTTGTAATCTAGTGATCTTGTTACTTGCTCCATATACATGTTTCACTTGATACATCTCATCATGGTAAACTATGGATCGACTAGTGCCTGTTTGCACTTGTCTACTTGTGTCAAACTCATCAATAAGTTCTTTCCTAATTACAGTTTTAAGGGTTCTTTTTGACAGACCCAAATTGTATTCAACGGTGTCTTTGTTAGACGCGAGTTTGGCGAGGGCCTCCTGGTTGAATAAATGTTAACAGCTAGGAGCTTGCTGGAGGAGGTGTTGCTTGTTCAGGAAAATGGGCAGAATGAATCTCAATGGAGAGACAGAGCTTATATACCCAGCAGCCGCTATGAGTCATGTTGGGAAAACCCGAGAAGTCGCCGGTGAATAGTTTCGTTGCTAAGATACCGTAACATCTGGGGACAGCTCTCGCTTGGTTGCTAGGCAACGGCACGTTGGAATGTGATAGCAGGTGGTGGCGGTGCTACGCAGTTTGTAGGGGAGACGTCCACTACACGAGCTTTTCTCTAACTTCCCAAAACCAACTTCTCCTTTTACTATCCTATTCACCACCGATCGGCTCGTTAGCCGCTTGGGCGATCGGTCACGTTTCTCTTACTTTTCCTTTTCTTTTATCCTCTTCACCCATACTGCCCGATTCTGGGGTCAATAATTCTAAGGGGAAAAATTAACTCTACTCTTAATTTTTAGGTTGCCCCCACCAGACTCCCCCTGGACAGTATGTAGTGTAGTGGACGTCTCCCCTACAACTGCCTACAACTGCGTAGCCGCAGCCACCAGCTGCTACCATCTTCCATAGCAACCAAACTAGCGGCCCAAGCAGGGGGCGTCACCAGATGCCACCGTATCCTAGCAACTGAGTCAAAAGACCGGTTACTTCTCGGGTTTTCCCTACATGACTCACGGCTGACTCACGGCTGCTGGGTATATAAGCTCTGTCTCTCCATTGAGATTCATTCTGGTCTCTCTTCCTGAACAAGCAACACCTCCTCCTCCGCCGCTGCCTGGCGGTCCTCGCTCCCGCCAGCGAGCATGGCGACCCACCAGCTGTCCTTCTCTGAGCTTCCTCACCAACCAACTCTCATTCTGCTCTCGGTTCCTGAACACGCAACACCTCCTCCCAGCAAGCTCCTCGCTGTCCAGCCTTCATTCAACCAGGAGGCCAGCAACAGGCAACATCTTCTCTAAAGAAGCTCCTGCACATCTACCTCCTTCAACACGCTACTCACCGAACGTCTCTACTGAGCAGCTACTCACCACACGGCACCTCCAGCACCAGACTGTCTATCATATAACTTATATTATACAAGAAAACCACCTTAGAGTTTCCATCCATCCTGAGTGCTAGACAACATTAATACCACGAAACCCTACAGTAGCTCGTTTGGTAGCGGGCAGAATAAGCTAGGCATTTGGTTGGGTTTTTCATTGACCAAATCGAGAGTGGGAAGAAGGGTGAAATATCAATCATGACTTAACTAATTTATTCCTTATAAAAACATATTGCAACCAATCACAATACAAAAAGAGCTGGTCTTCTTTTCTTTTCTTTTCTTTTCTTTTATCCTCTTCACCACTTATCGGCTTGTTAGCCGCTTGGGCGATCGGTCACGTCTCTGTTAGTTTTCCTTTTCTTTGATCCTCTTCACCAAATGATAGGCTCGTTAGCCGCTTGGGCGATCGGTCACGTCTCTGTTGCGCACTGTTGGCAAGTACTGGGCATGCACCGGCTCCTGAATATACTTGTGTGGGGTTATGAGATTTTGGTTCACACTCAGGATGGGATGGAGAAAGAAAACTCACAATGTGCTCACTGTATACATATTGTATTGGATGTACAATGCAGCTTGTTGCTGGGTAGGTAGCATGGTAATAGGCGTTGAGTAGAGAGAGCTGGGTGGTGAGGGTGCCCAGAGGAGGGACACGCGGCTTGAAGGACGCCATGGTCGCTGGCGGGAGCGGCAGCTGCCAGGCTGGCATGGAGAAGGTGTTGCTTGCTTGTGGCACCGGGTAGAAAGAGGGTGGTCACAGCGGTGTCAGGCCTTATAAGGCAGGGGTAGGCGTGGGTAGATATTTGACCCCTGCTCCGTGGGCGGCGCTGGAGGCGTAGGCTGGGGAATTCGAGAAGGTTCGGTGCTTGTAGGGGAGGAATCCACTACACCTGAACCTGCTCCAGCGTTGGTCAAGTCTTGTCTTGAAAGAGCTCACACTCGGTGCCGTCACAACACTTTCTGGTAGATTGCTCCAAGAGTTCTCAACTCTTACTCCGAAAAAGTTTGCCCTCACAGTTTTCTGGACCTGCGGCTTCTTCAATCTTAAGCTGTGACCCCTTGTGGGGCGAGCGTCCGCCAGCTCCAAGTAAGTGCACTCGACTGAGTAGTGCCCCTTGAAATGCTTATTCACCTCAATTAGGTCACCCCTTGCCCGTCTGTAGTATAAGCTAAGTTCAGGCGCTCCAATCTCTCAGGGTAACTGAGGTGCCGAATGCAGGCACCAGTCTGGTGGCCCTCCTTTGAACATTTTCAACCAACTGACAATCCCTAACATATCTCGGGGATCAGACGGGGTGACAGTTCTCCAGATGGGGAAGCACTTCACTCTTGAAAATCGTTACGAAGGACGGACCGTCTAGATATCTGAACGACCTTCTTATAAGACCCAATAATTTATTTACCTGATTTACCTTCTTTTCACAATGGCCCGAGAACTTCAGCTCATTGTCAACATACACACCTAGGTCCTTCTCACACACAGTCTCAACTAGTACATTTTCTTCATCCCGTTGGGACATATGGTATGCCTCCTTACCGTTGGTACGCCCCAGGTGCATCCTCTTACACTTCGTGACATTGAATCTCAGCAGCCATTCCTTCGACCATTCCTGGAGCCCACAGAGGTCCTTCTGCAGCTCTTCACAGTCCGCTTGGTTCTTAATTTCCCGAAATAACTTGGCGTCATCGGCAAACATTTGTATGGAGGCGTGTACAACGTCAGGCATATCATTTATGAAACAAACAAACAACAGCGGGCCCAATACACTACCCTGCGGTACCCCACTTGTTACAGGTACAGATGACGATTTCGTGCCATTAATCACCACACATTGCTTGCGGTCATGTAGAAAGTCTTCTATCCACGCTAGGACATTTCCCCGAATTCCGTACCCTTCCAGTTTGATTTTCAGCCTTTCGTGGGGTACACTGTCGAAAGCCTTGGCAAAATCTAGGTAAATATTGTCGATATTACCACCCCGTTCTAGAATATGGGTCCAAATATCCAATACCTTGAGCAATTGTGTCAAGCAAGAGCGCCCCGGCATAAAACCGTGTTGGCAATCTTTTACAAGGTTGTTTCGTAGTAGATGTTCCATCGCTGCATCTCTGATAATACTCTCAAGTACTTTACATATTATGCTGGTCAGGCTCACCGGTCTATAGTTGTTTGTGGAGTGCCTATCGCCCTTCTTGAAGATAGGACTCACATAAGCCACTTTCCATTCACTGGGGACCATTTGTTCATCCTAGGCATTTACAAAACAGAATCTTCAGGGGCTCTGCAAGCTCGTTGCACAGCTCCCTTAGCATTCTAGGATGCACCATGTCAGGTCCAGGACTCTTATGGACCTTTAGCCTGGACAGTTTATTTCTAATACCCTCTTCTGTGAACACAATGTGGGTCAGTGCTGTGTCGAACCGTCTGTCCTCAAACGCAGGAAGGTTAGTTGCATCCTCTCTTGTGAACACTGAGGAAAAGAAGCTGTTCAATGCCTCAGAAGAACAACGAAAATGTTGGTTACCCTGCTCGGCACCAGACGTCTTACATTAA